TAATAATAATATAGCTTATAAAGCGGATAGAGCTTGAGGTTTAAGTGGGAATATGCGCTATACAAATGTTATACATCTTTTTTACTATTATTTTTGGCTAGTTTAACCTACATCAAGGTGCAGTTCGTCTGCAATACCAAAAGAGTCGCATTATTCAGTACAGAGGAGTTTCAGGGAACAGGGCTTGAACCTAACAGACCTTTGATACCACCTATTTGGGGTTTTTTAAACCCTAGTTGGACGCCCTGAATTCATTTTCTACCCCCGGGGTTGTATTCTTCACATTTTAGAATACTTCTAGTACGAAGATCTCTTTGAAACGTTCAGTATTTCTTAAAAAAATAATCATTTTGACAGACTACTATGCAAAGCGAACGGATCGGATTAACGAGTAAATTTCCTCTTTGGAAAATGGTGGTACCACGTAGTATGGTTAAGCTATCATCTTTCCTATTCTGAAATCAAGATGCCAGTGATAGAAGTTAATGGACAAAAACAAAGATAGAACTGTTATTTGAAGACATTGGTAAAACCAGAAGCATTGCAAATAATGACTTGTGGAAACTGAGGTTTTAGATTATGAACGTCCACTGACGCTGTGAACATTGTTCTGTGGTGAATGGCCACAAAAACTATCATACAAATAATTTATTTTTTTGACGTTTGGGATTCATCTTTTTATTGTTAAAACATTTTACAAAAACAAAATTTAAAGCTTCATTTTTTCCATTCTTTCATAAGTTAAGAAACCCTCTGTGCCATTCATTCAAATGTTAGGACCCTTCCTGTGTCCTTGTCTATATGTGTCACGACGCAATGGAATGGGGCGCTTGTCACTTTGTGGGCATGTGGAATTATTGGTATCATCTTCAAGCGTGTTTATTTGTCTTGCCCTCCAGGAAAAAATATCCATCTATCTTGAATAGAAGTCGAGATATTTGAGATTGAAGGAGGTGGGGGTCGCTTGGTTTCAGAGGAAAAATTGACAAGAAAAATGGCCGCCAAAATCTGGTAACTTCTATAGCTTGAGATTCGTTGAAAACTGAGAATGTACATATTCTAAGCGATTATTCAGCATTTTTTAAAACAATGTTCACGTAGAAATATGTTTTTATGTATATATAAAAGGTGTTTAGACAAAAAAGAAAAATTCGATAGATATTGTCAAACGGGGGGGGGGGGGATGCCTGTTTCTTCGATTTTGTTATTTTGACGAGCGCCTGATTACACCACGATGCCCCACACATAACTCACCTGGATGATTGACTTTGACACAGCCCGGGTGTTGTTCCAGGAACCTGGCGACCTCCAAAGAGTTTTTCTCATGCTCTCTCATACGCACGTGCAGAGTCTTGAGTCCCCGAAGAACCAGGTAGCAGTCGAAAGGGGAGGATGTCACACCAACAGCTACAAAAAGAAAATGTAGGACTTTATTTCTTTTTATATCTGGAAGATATAGCTTTTTGTTTTTTGTAAGTGTTTTACGGCACTTGCAACACAATATTGTTGCATAAGTGTCGAAGATTAGAGGTATTACAAGAGAGTTACAAGCGCAGAAAAACAGACTCCAGCCACCCACCAAGAGAAAGCGTAGCGATTTTTTATGCACACGTCGTGTTTTTCTATTTTATTCATACAGACGTGGGGAACTCTGTGCCACAACTTCGAAAGAGGAAGTTTATTCGTTAATCCGATCCGAAGACTATGCATAACAGTCTGTCAAAATGATTTTTTTTTTAGAAATACTGAAAGTTTCAAAGAGATCTTCGTACCAGAAGTATTCTAAAATGTAAAGAATACAACCCCGGATGTACACAATGACCCCAGGGCGTACAGATAGGGTTAAGTAATTTTGAAGATGATTGGCCTATTCTTTGGTGTACAGTCAGAACACTTGGCTTTAATTACGGAAAACTTGGTTTGTTGGATTCAGAAAATAGTGGACTGATTTGGGCTCAATAACCCCATGCATCCAAGTGCTTACCGGTGTTTGGTATTTGTGGTGCAGCGGTTAGACGCTCAGCTGAAACATGCAGGAGGCCAAAATTCGATGCCCGAAAAGGGAGAAAATTTTTATCGATTATCTCGGTCTCTAAGGTCGATAGTCCGCTTCCTAAGTTATCTAAGTTGTATTAATGATGGCATAAAAACTCCAACCTTTTAAACCCTATCCGAACGTCGCGTTTTATTATCATATCCATACGACGTGGGGGAACTCTGGGCCACCACTTTCCAAAGGAGAAATTTACTCGTTATTCCGATCCCTACACCTTGCATAGCAGTTTGTCACAATGATTTTTTCAGAAATACTAAAGGTTTCAAAGAGATCTTCGTTCTAGAAGTATTTTAAAATGTGAAGACCGGGGGTACTAAATGACCACAGGGCGTACGGATAGGGTTACGAAAGCATACTGAGGAAAACAGGGATAAGGGGGCATATGCTTTTCTTTCCAACAATCTGACCACCCATAGAGAGGTGCAAAAACTTTGTAAGCAATATTAGTAATGTCCTCCAAAATAAATTTCCAAATAAACATACGAACACAAAAAGTCTCACAAAACAACTGCTTTTTCTGCGTGTGTCCGGATGTGCCCGTACATGTGTAACACGGGTTCATTTTGCTTTGGCTTCGAAAATCAAACAAAGTCTATCAGAATCTTTTTTATTTACTTTTTTTACTTTTTTATCCTCTGTTGCCGTTAAGCGTCGAGGGGAGAGGCATCTTTCAATGGTAGGCCAGCTACGCAGCTCTTCCAGTTGTGATATTACGTTTTCTCAGGGTTTTCTTGACACTCTCGATCCTCCTTTTTGCGTGGCCTTCCTCTTCCTTTATAGCCTGAGTGCTTGGTGTTGTAGGCTCTCGAGGCTGGTTGGCCAGGTAACATACGTAACAGGTAGCCAAACCATAATATCATTCTCTGTCTTTCAATGTAATGCAGACAGGACTCAATGTCGATAGCTGCTCTTACTTCTTCACTTCTCTGCCTGTCTCGTCTTGTGATGTTAACGGTTTTGCGGAGACATTTCTTCTTTTATTCACTGGAAAAAGTGACATACCCATCTGAAAAAAGTTCAGCTTTCGGTAGAGTTCCTCGTCGCTTAGAATCAGGGCTCCCATGAGGACGTCACTGTGACCTAAAGAGAAACAAATATGTCACGACGCGGTGGAATCAGGCTCTCGTTAATTTTTGGGCATGTAGAGTTATTGTTATCATCTTAAAGCTTATTTACTTCTCTTTATTTGTTTGAAAAAGGTATCCTTTTATCTTGAATACAAGTCAAGATATTTGCTAAGGAAAGAGGTGGGGTCACCTGGTTTCAGAGGTAAAATTAGGGAGAAATTGGCCTCAAAGATTAGTTATATCCTTAGCTTAAGAGTCCGTGGTAACTGAAAATTTACATTTTTGTGCCTTCAATCAACTTTTTTTCAATCAAATCCACACAGAAATGAGTTCTTTAACGGGCATGAAAGGTGTTGAGCCAAAAACAAAAAAATTCGATAAGAATTCACAAACCTGTGGGGAAAAAAATGCCAGTTTCTTCACTTTGATTATTTTTACGAGAGCCTGATTCCACTACGTTGCATCACAAATACTGTCTACATTGTACATGCATAGAAAATGAGACGTTTGATTGATATCTTGCTCGATCAAGAAACCATTTTGGTCGATTTACTTGACCAAGAATATTGTTCGATTAACCGAAAAATTTGATCGATCAATTGCATGCACGACAATCTAAAAAAACGGATCAGTTTGTAAGTATATTTTTGGTCCCAATTTCATTTAATAGTTGCTAGAAATAATTGTTTTACAATCGATTCCATACATTTTCTCCGAGTTTTAAAAAAAAAATTTGTCGGTGTTGTTTTTGGTAAGTGTTTTACGGCGCTCGTAACTATAGAGTCATAGCAGCGCGCGGGACACGTTAAGCATTAATTTTGGTTTGGTAGGAAATCTTACAGGCTTAAGACATGATGGCGGCAAACTGGACAAGCCATAGCACAATGGTGGTAGCTGTGTACACAAGTAGGGAGCTGGACGGGGGTTGGATGGTGGGAGACTGTCCACGGGAAAACCACTCCCAATCTCAGCCTCCTCCATCTTGCGCCCCCCTTTGGTCCGACTCACCCCCTCCCCACCACAGTGCCCAGTGGTAGGTCCCCTCACTGTCCGCCAACTAGTGCTGGATCCCGGTATCGATTCCGTTCGCTGCTCGCAACTCCCACTTCCGGGAATCAACTCCCAACTCACTTGGGCAACTCAGTTCAACTCAGTGCAATTCAGTGATTCAGCAAAGGTTTTCTACTATGAATATTAATTTTTTAATCTTAATTGTTAAAATGTAATGAGCCCACGGCAGTTTATGATGCCAAAACAAAATACAGCCAGCCTTTCTATGA